TAATTCACCTTGCACAAGCAGCACTGCACAGACTTGGCACGGACAGACAACACACCAGGCTGCAAGCAAGGAATCACCTAAAAAGCGCTGGAGAGTGGCAGACGCAGCTCCAACACGGCACATCAGCGGCCTGGGCACTGGTGGGAGCATGGATGTGTCTGTGCAATGGGAATTGGGAAGTGGAGGTACCAAATAGCCAAAAACCAGGAGCAGGGTTTCTCTGGGACTGCACCAGGAAGGCAGCATGGGCTGCTCACCTCGCCCAGCACTGAGGTTTATCTCACAAAAATCGAAATCCTTAAAAAAAAAAAAAAAAGAGCTTGAGAGGTTTGGTCCAAAATATCCTCACGCTGCCATGCCAGCACCTGCTGAGCCCCACCAGCCCTGAGCCCCCACAGGGCCCACCCAGGGCTCGCTCCTGCCTGCAAGACCCGGCACTGCGGTGGCACGAGGAGGGCGGTCACCTCACCAGGGCTGCCCCAGCCACCACGGGGGGCTCAGCCCCCACAAAGCGCTGCTGCAGCCCCAGCCTGGGGTTTGGTGTCAGCTGAAAGCACCCCACCCCTTCCCCTGCCCCCAAGGTCTGGGTGCTCCCTGGCAGCATGGAGAGTGTTGCTCAGGCTGGCTGGAATGCAGGGAAGGATCTGGGAGCGCAGGAATCGCTGCTGGCCGTTCCTCCTTGGCAGGAACACTGGTGGGTAGGGGTCCCCCAGCTCCCACTGATGCTCCATGCAGCCAGTGAATGGTCCTGCTGTGAGGAACACCCGGCTCGGGGGCTCTCATGCCATTCACAGTCCGCAGGCCCAGAGCACGTGGCTGCAGTGTGGAGCTGTCCCTTTCCTGGTTTTCTCACTGGGATGTGGGCTTCGGGCACCTCTCCATCTCCTCGGGGCTGCTCCCACCCAGCCCTGGCGCACACTGGGAGGAGAGGAGCATGTCACGATCCACACAAACATCCATCGCAGTGGGCACAGGGATGTCCTGGCCCCACGTCACGCAGGGGCCTGCAGGACTCGGCCATGGATACCATGGAACACTCAGCAGTGGCGCTGTGTACACCCAGTTATAGGAACTCCACATAGTTCTCGGGGATCAATCCTGTCTTGCCATTGAGGGTCCCTTCCAGCCAGCCAGGCTCCTGGGATGGGTGAACTGTGGAGAGAAGGAAAGGGCAGGTCACTGCAGGAGGGGATTGGGGCTGCTGCTCCTTGTGTGCTGACAACGCCAAAGCCGCTCTTGGAAGAGAGTGAGACCTTTAATTTGTGTTTATTTTCAAGAAAGGAAAACTAACAGAGTTAAAAATGAGCTTTGGGGTCCCTTCCAACCCAAACCATTCTGTGATTCTGTGAACACACCAAGGGGCTCAGACAGCTGAAGTGCTCTGTCTGTGCCTGCTCTCCCGTGGGACTCCTTGGCCTTTCCTTCCCCAAGCGAATCCCACCACAGGACCAAGTGAGCAGCACACTCGGCTGCAGATGGCGTGTCCACATATTACCTGGAGCTGCTGGGCTGAGGGAAGTGAAGCATTTGGGATAAAAACAGGGGGTTCAAAACTTTCTCCAGATTTGGGCTAAAATCTCTCTGATGTTGGAGAGAACATGATTAACTCCATCACATGGTGAACTCCATCACATCATAACCCTGCACATCCCGGCTTGGCCTTGGCCCAGTCTGGGAGGGAAACTGCATTAGTGAATGCTCCTGGTGGGAAAGCAAACCCTGCAACCTGATTGTGTGCAACCAGAAACCTCATCAGTCCTCAAAAGCCTTTCTTTATTCAATCAACTCCTGAAAATGTGCTGATTTTGCAGGACCCAGGCCAGGGTTACACCAATGCAGTGTTTTGGAGCTGCCCCAGCCTCACGTGACTCTGCAGGTCTGACTGTTCACACCATGTCTGGAATCAGCGTGAATAAGACATGAGTTTAACCAGAGCTCTCAAACATGCTGTGATTGACCACGTGGGTGTTGCTCAGTGTGGGCAGCAGTACCCCAGCATCCTGTTGGATAAAGCTGCTGCTCGGTCACAAAGCTTACAGTCCAACTAGTACCTGTCTGCATGTATTTCTGAGAGCCCTTTGCCTTTGCTGGGGTTTGTAAAGCCCCCTGACCACAGCAAGACCCCCACCAAGCTGTGCTGGTTCTGACTCCAGCCAACGTGAGCCCCGACTGTGCTGCTGAGTGACTGGAACACACTGTGTACTTTTTCCCTTGAATAATCCATTGATTTTTATCAGCAAACATAATGTATTTAATTCAAACTTGTTCCCCTCCTAATTCCCCTCCGAGCTGCTCTGATTCCCACGGGCTCTCAAAGGGGAGACCATGTTTATTTATTAGATGACTATGGAGCTGCTTAGATGAAGGGCTGTCTTTAATTCACATGGATTCATTATCTTCCCCTTTCTGCTGTATTCTCCTCTATATCCCAGGGCAAAACCAGTGCCTGTGGTAGCAGCTTCCCAAATGACAATGCATAACATATAAAAGCCAAGAACTACTTGGAAAGTAGTAAAAAATCTTTTCTTAACACTGGGATTATAGCTAAGCCAGAGCTGCTCAGTTCCATGGGGCACAGACACTTGGTGCAGGAAACAGCAAAATCTATGTTCATTAATGTTGCCTCTGACTAAGCAAAGCCCACCTATTCCAGTGCTCAGTATCCAGAGGGACAAAGCACATGATACTTTTCCATCTTCTGCATGAAACATGACAGCAACTGCATAGAATATTTCTGGTGCTGGTACCTGGAATCTAATCTCTTCTACCCAGAAGCCATCCAAGAACGGCTCTGTGCGTGGCAAACACTGGGGCAGTCCCAGCTCACCGGGTTCTCCCCTGAACTCAGAAGGGTCCGTGCCCATGGGAGGATCCGGCACAGTCACACAGCCTCGCTCTGCCGGTGGCACCGGGCACAGCTCTCGCCATCCCGCCTTCCCAACACTCCAGGAACCACATCCTAAACACTGCACTGAAAAATGAGCCCACGTGTAGCCCCAGGACTCACCGTTGTCGAACACAGTGCCGGCCGTGAAGGAGAGCTCCGAGTCGTGCTCGGCTTTGCAGGCGTAGAGGGCGCGGGCCTTGCGCAGGGGGGAGCTGCAAAGAGAGGGCACAGGTTGGTACAAAACCACCCAGACAGACCAGCACACCCTCCTGTGCCCTGTGGTGCCCACAGAGCAGCAGCCCAAGCCAGGGTTCCCAGGAGAGCTCCATGCACTGGGCTGGAGCTGGAATGTTCTGTGAGTCTCTGAGGGGCTGTCACCAACCAGAGGCTGGCACAGAGCAAAGGTGTCACCAGCCCCGCTCTGCCAAACCCATCACTCCCAGGTGCAGCTGCAACCACAAGATTTCTCAAGGAAAAATTAGCACCGGGGGAAAGGTATTTCAAAACAGAAAACCAAGCAGGTCCGTGAAGAATTTGCTGCACTTCTTTAGAGACTGTACCTGAAAGTAAAAAAGATTTAACAGCTATTAGATTTTGCTGGAAGTGTCAGTGTGCCCACGCTGTGGGGGAGGGAATCGGAGCGCAGAGATGCCAGGAATGGAGTGATCCAATGGAAGAGCAGGGAAAACGAGGGACCTCAGGGTCCCAGAGCAAAGCACAGGCGTACAAAGCTGTCCCCACACATGGAGCCTCCTGGGTTTGGGATGGAGCAAGGCTGGTGCAAAGCTGGGACACTGCCAGGCTATGGTGATGGTGACAGTGCCAACCTGCCCAGGCACTGGGACACCCTGCCAGCCAGATCCATCCAGCACTCCACAGGCTGCTCAGCCAGGACACGGCCAAGAGAAGTGATGGAAGTGCCCTCCGGGAGCTGCTGGGGTGGGGAACAAGGCGTCACCATTCCCAGGTCAGTGCTTTCACCAGCTTTTATCTTTCCAAGGACTTGAACTTCCTCAGAGTTCCCTCTGAGCAAGCCCAGGGAAGCAGCAGTGCTTTGTGACAAAACCAGTTCCCCTTTCGCAGCAAATCCCAGACCAGGGGAGCTGAGAATGGTTTTGGCTTTGCTGTGAAGAGAGCCCCGAAATGGAGGTCTCTCCTCTCAAAATTCCAGCTGCCTGACACAAGCAGCTCCCAAACACTTAAAACCCAGGATGGGCAAACAATCCTTCCTCTCCAGAGGGTCCTTCACTGCTGGGGAGGCACCACTCACATGGAGTGCTTGAGAGACCATCAGATGAAAAACAAAAGGTATTTTCAGACTTATTACCTCGAATTACTCAAGTTGTTGGTTTTCTCCTCAAAAAAACACCTTTGCAGCCTGGTGACCCTGGGCCCAGCCTGCCCCTTGCCCACTGGCTGCTCTCTGGCTGCCACTGTGCCCAGCCAAGCCCTGTGGGGCTTTCAGGGATCAAAACACTGGACCCTGATGGTTCCTCCCGTTGGGTTCGTCCCTCCAAGCACACAGACACGGGCAGAGAGCAGCAAACACCTGTGCTGCCCCATGTCCTTCACCGTCCTCAGATCCCAGATGAAGCAGTGGCCAGAAAATGAGGGATGACTGTGCTTTCCAAAGGCTCTTTACTCCTTGTAGGACACTTCTTACCTGTTGCAGAGCAGAGCAAAGCCAATGCAGGAGCTGAAGTGGCCAGAGAAAACCACCGAGACCGGCAGTGACACCGGGCACTGTGGCCATGACCTGTGAGCACCAGCTCCTGCTGGCCTGGGCAGGAGATTCCCAGGAGAGGCCCTGGGGGGGTCCAAAGGGTCTCTCCTGGGGCAGAAGGGTTTGAAAGCTCCTCTCTTGCTGAGTGCAGACAGCTGTGTTGCAGGGGTTCGAGCAGGATGCGAAGGGAAAGGGAAGTGAAGTGGGGGAAACCGGGGAAATTAAACAGAAATAGCAAAAGCAACAGAAAGCAAAGCGAATTGTGCAACAGACCTGATGGGGGATGAGTCGCTGGACGTAGAGGAGGTGGGCATAGGACTTGATGGCGCGGAGAACATGGGCCAGGACGGTGAGAGGGGTGACGTTGGGCTTGGATTCTGAGGGCTGCAAGACATAACCAGAGACCTTATCAACGTGCAACCACAGCAACAAACAGCAACCGAGAGACAGAGAGACGACAGCCGACGATAGCAAGTGCCTTGGGAATATTCAGAGCATGAGACACAGCTACGAAATGAAGTGCCAAGACCTTGGGAAGTGTTTCAAGGCCGGATCTGCATTTCTCTGGACAACAAGAGCTGGATCTTCCAATTAACCCCTGCTCCATCATCCCCTCTGCTGAGGAGGGGTCTCACTGCTGGCAGCCCAGCCACTTACCTGCCTTGTATTTTCCCCAGTGCTGCCAGAAATAGCTGCTGGTATTTCTGGACATTATTTCTGTGACCAGTCTCCACCCCCTCTGTATGTCACTCGTTGCAGTGCTCATGCAGTCGGTGCTATAAAAATGTCATTGATTCTGTTTTCAGTGTTTTACATGGTACAACTCTTTTTTTCCCCTCATGCAAACAGCTCTGATTCTTCACTTTCAAGACACAGCTGTCAACTGAAGCTGAATCAATTTACTGAACTGGTAAATGCATGCAGAAGTGTTTGGTTCCTTCAAAACTGTTCGATTCAGGTCATTCTCGGGTTCACTGAAAAACAATTGTACTAAAATACCAATTTGACTCTGATTCATCTACTGTTTCTATGTTTAGGAACTCATTGGTATTCCCTGTCCAATTCAGATTATAAACTCCATCCATGATAAAAAATCCATGATCAGAAAATCCTCTCCCCATGCAAATGCTTCTGTAAAAGCAAGAAGTTTTGTGAAAGGATCATGGTTTATGTTTTTTTCCTGGAGAGAGGGATGGTACCTCTGATCACGCAGGCCTGTGATGAGGTAGGCACGACCCACTGGCACCCCCCAGGATGCCCTCATCCCTGTCCCTGAGCTGGGGCCTCCCAGGGGAGAGGGAAGGGATACAGGGAATGGGGGCTCCAGAACATGTGGGAGAACCTCAGCCCTGCAGGAGCAGTTCAGACCAACAATTTAACCTTCTGTAGTGTCCTCTGGCTGCCACCACACAGGGATATTCATGACACAGACACTTTCCCCCTGGAAATTGGACTACCCCTGCTTAAGGCCAAACTCTTGGCTTTACTCCTCACAGGAGCTGTGTCACTGGATTCAACAGACACTGATGAATTCCCTCTAGAATTACAGGCAACACCTTTATTATGTCAGAGGATTACACGTGTATAGAAACGGGATATGACAGTGCAGAACCAGAGGCTGGAAAACAGGGAATGCTCACAGGCAGGCTATAACCAGAGATCCTCAAAATGTTCTGCTAATAATAATCATTATTTAAGAACAATCTTTTTGCATTTTTAATCAATAAAACTGTCTTTTGAAAAATGAGTAATTACCTGTTTTCCTTGATCTTCAGCAAACCTGACAGCCATTGGTACTTACCCGACACTCAATCTACTCCCACCTCCAAAGAGAAGGACGTGCTACCAAGACCACCAAGTCATCCCAAATTGCCAAAATGAACCCTTCAAGCACCAGATCTTGTGAACAGATGGCACAATAACTCCCTTCTCCAAGAGGAGCCTGGCCAAGGTGGAACTTAGAGGGGTGATGAGCTGGTGACCAAAATGTGGCTGGGCCTGACCCACTGAGAGTGGCCACCAACACCCACCAGCCCTCCTGCCACTACACCCACCGTGGCTGCAGGCAGAGGGCCTGGGGTGCAAGAGGACATCTCACTGAGTGTGCCAGTGTGGGATGGGCACCGTGACATCCCACTGGGTGTGCCAGCGACGGGACAGCCACCACCTCCACCACTGACCCTGGTCCTCCTCACTGCATGACAGAAGGAAAATCCAACTGCACAGGGCTCTGGGACTAGACATTCCCAATGCACTCTCTGAGATGAAATCATGTCAAAAGAATGCAGCTCTCGCTTCCCCTAAAGTCGCTCTGTCATCGCTCCACAACTGCGCACCCGCTACACTCATGGCAGCGGGGAATGCAGTCAGCAGGGTTCTCACTTATCTCTGCAGTGGTGGGTAAAAAAGCCCAACAGCAAGCACTGGCACTCAGGCCAGCCTCTGCCTAAGAAGTTATCAATGATTTGGAGTGGGATTTTGGTGTCTTTGGATCCTTGGTGGCAAAGAAAACACTCTCCATGCCCACCACACCAGCAGAGAGAACTGTTAACTAATTGGTGTGCAGACCACTCTGTTCCCATCAGGTTGCTCGCTGAAGAGATGAACATGGTCTTACAACGGCCAAGCTGCTCCTGTGCAGCTCTGCAAGTCCTTCCAGCACATTTCCTCAAGAAGAACCCATGGATACCTCAGGACCCACCTGAGCTGCACCCCAGCACTTACAGACCTCAGGGTATGATGCACACAAAGGGTTCATCTCCCTTCCATGAAATACAGGTATTTATTTTCAAGATGCTGCTTGAGTATCTCCCTTCTGAGTTTATGTAAGTGCAAGACCTGAGTCCTGTCTCGCTGGAGATGTCAGTGCACGTGATCAAACGGACTATCCCAATGTCTCTGACATTTTGGAAAACAGTTTTCTTGTAGGATCCAATTTCCTTTGTTTCTCATGGAAAGAGCAGAGGTGGTGAGAGGCTGGGGGGAAGTGCTGGCTGCTGCCTGCAGGCAGCAAATGTCATCTGGACCTTTTTTTTTCCTTCTTCTTACTCGGGAGGGCTTTGCGAGGGGCTCTTCCTGTTGGGTGCACAGTGGAAACAAAACAGAGAAAATTGCTAAGAACCAAAACCACCAGAAGCAGCAAACAAAGAAGTGGCTCAAATTAGAGTCTTCCAAGGTGGGAATGGACATTTCCTCAGCAGAAGCAGCCAAGGGAACTCCATGAGTCTGCAGTCCAAGGCATCTCGCCTTTCCTGCTGGTCCATCTGTGCCCTTGGAAGCAGCGACTGAGACCCCCGTGGGGAGGAACCTCTGCCAGGCACGGGCAGGGTGAGGAGGACATTGTGCCACAGCCTCTGTGGGGGACACCTGCACCTTCCACTGCATGTGCCCTTCTGGCAATCCCACTCTTCCAGCAAATAGCATACTTAGAAATGAATTTAGGAGCTAAATCCTCCTCCCTGCTTCTCGTGCCTGCTGTACACACTGCCTTTCCCATGCAGATGTTTAGTTTGCTGCCCAAACATGTTAAAAAAAGCAGTAACTCTTGCTTCAAAACTGCTGGACTTGCTGGAGCTAAAAAATGTCTTTTCTAACCTGTTTTCATAACCTGCCTTTTTCATTCCTCTTCCTCCGCAATCTGCCCCGGCTGCCTCGCTCTCCTCACCCAGCTCAGGCCCTCCAGGCATGTGCAGCTCTGAAGGGCTGTTCTCAGCAGGTTTCCAGACAACTTCTGCTGCTTTGTTCTCTGGGCTGAGAGGACATCGTTTCCACTTCAAACATGTTTACAACTTGTTGTTTATTTTTGTGGAACTGGGGGCTATTTCTGACACAGAACATCTCACAGCTATGGATGGGCAGAGCCCACTGAGGGATTAAAGCCCTTTCATGAAATCACCTCAAGAAAAACAACAATATTCCCTTTCTGACATGATCAGTACCTGACTGCAGCATAATACATCAAGGACCACCCAGCCCTTTACTCCCTGATCTGTTCCTCTAGAACAAAGCTGCAGAACATAAGGTTCTTCTCAAAGATAACCAGAAAAAAGAAAATTACAGTTTTATATAATGCCAGGGCAGTTCAACTCTGCTGAAACAAGGACAAGACTGCAGCTCCCCAGCAGACATGGCTCTGTTGCCTAAATGAAATGGGATGCAGCCTTGGGTTGGGAAGCTCATGGAGCTCATGCAGTGCTGCAGGTCCTAGCAAAGCTTGGAGTGGCTGCACTGTGGGTCAGTGAGACACCACCCCATCCATATGTGACTACCAGCTCACAGGGCTCCAGACTGGCAGTGTTCTTCCTCTGTTTGGTACTTTAACACAAGAAAAATTATAAACTCTCTTCAGAGTTATTCTCTTGGGAGTTATCTTGCTGCATGGTCATTTGCTTGGAAACAATGACACACTTAGGGAAATAAATGCTGTTGTCAGCATTGCTTGACCAAACTGGTCCAAAAAAAGCTCAAATTCTTCAGCATGGACCTTCCCCACATCTCCATTTACCAGTTCCCTATTTCCATCTCCAACAGCACAGATTACAGGATCTTCTTTCCAATAGCACGGACATGTCCCTCTGTAATCCTGGTGACACCCAGCACATGGGTTTGTCTTGTCACTTTGCTGCTTGGCTGAGTTCCCACATGTAGAAATATCTCCCTGCTTTAGTCATTTCATAAACCATCTAAAAGCTTTTCTACTTGAACAAGAGAGAGGCCAGATGAGTTCTGACTTTGGAGAGGAGAGCTGTAGTTGTTGTCTCACTTAATAGACATTCCCATTTCCAAACGCAGCCGGATGATGCTCAGTGGTGCAGAGGGATGTGATGACTGCTGGCTTGGTACAGAATTCTGGCATGGAGCTTACAGCCTGCTGTTAATGCTAGAGAAAGTGAGTGAATAAGCAAAGAGTCAGCAATGGATGTGTTTTCAGCATGAGTAAGTGTTGGAGGCATCGCAGGAAGGAAGTCTGCAGGGCCAGCGTGGTGTCAGCACAGGTGTCCTCCCCAGCAGATGAGATCCAGGTGATGGGAGCATCATGTCATCTTAACATGGAACAGTATTTCATTAATAGTTACACAATTTGTTTATAAGAGAGAATTACCAGCATCACCAGCAAGCTACCGACCCACCAGTCACTGCTGTTATGTGGGACCAGGATTGGAAGTGGGATGGGCAGAGCAGGGGAACAGAGGCAACCACAGGTCCACACTAATGGGGCTTTGGGTCCTACCCAGCACCCAACCTGGACATGATATAGAGTCACAGAACGGCCTGGGTTGGAAGGGACACCTTCCACTATCCCAGGCTGCTCCAAGCCCTGTCCAACCTGGCCTTGAATGCTTCCAGGGATGGGGCAGACACAGCTTCTCTGGGCAACCTGTGCCAGGGCCTCACCACCCTCACAGGGAAGAATTTTTTCCTAATATCCCATCTTACCTTGCTCTCAGTGGGAAATCATTCCCCCTTGTCCTATCTCTCCAGGCCCTTGTAAACAGTCTCTCTCCATCTTTTCTGCTGGCTCCCTTCAGGTACTGGAAGGTGCAATTAGGTTACCCTGAGGCCTTCTCTTTTCCAGGCTGAACAATCCCAATTCTCTCAGCCTTTCCTCACAGCAGAGCTGCTCCATCCCTCTAATCACCTCGCTGGCCTTCTCTGGACTCACTCCATCCAACAGGTCCATGTCCTTCCTGTGCTGGGACCCCAGAGCTAGAGGCAGCTCTGCAGGTGGGGCCTCACCTGTGTGGGGCAGAGGGACATGTTCTGCCTTGCTCCACCATTTGCTCAGCAGTTGTATTTTCTGTTCCATCAATAACCCCCTCCCTCTTCCCCTCTGCCCAAAAGGCTCTCAGTAGACTCAAAATCGAGCTGGAGGGTTTTATGTTGAACTGAGTGCTTTCAAACTGTGTTAAAGCACTCAATTATTAATAGAAAAGTTGTAATGTGGCAGTAGGAAGCCAAACTGGCAGTTTAGGAGGGAAGTGTTGGTAAATCAGGAGCCAGCATCTTAGTCACGGCTTCTCCATCGTGCTGCAGCTTCTAGCACGAGGTAATTCTGCAAGTCTGGGTGCATTAGTCACCAACAAATTGTGTTCACAATTAAGGAGAGCTCAACAGCCCTCCAGAAATCGCTCATTCTCTCTGGCATTCAATGCACTGCTATCTTACGCCCCCCAGAAAAGAAAACTTTCCCATCTGCCATCCCAACAACCATATGGGATTCTTGGAAAATGAAGGAAATTAAAGTCCCTGTGGGAGCACAGCTCCCAGATCAGCCAAGGGGGAGGGGTTGGTAGGACCAAATATTTGAGCTAAACATATCCCATGCACCAGGAGGCCCCGCTGCGATGCTGAGCCAGGTTTGCCAGCCACAAGCAGCTCAGACCTGAGGTATGTGGGTGAGGGTGGCCTCGTTTTGGGAAACTGGAGCTGCAGGGAAGGTGACTGATATGGAATGACGCTGTCCTTGCTGCCAGCCACTGTCATCTTGCAATGGGGGAGGACAGACCCGACCCCCTGCCCAAGGCTCTGTTGGGACCAGCCCTGCAGCACCACCCTGGGAGCCCAGCTTTGAGTGCAGGGCAAGCGGATTTGGTCTTTATTTCCCAAAAACAAGTCTCCCTTTGGCTGGCAGAGCCATTCTGCTGCAGGGAGCCAGGAGGGATGCCTGGATTGCCCAAGGGAAGCGATGCCAGGAGCCGACTGCTCTGCCCCAGGGAGTCTCAGGCTGTCACACAAGCCTCAAAGGAAAAGCCATGCTCTGCAAGCACCCAAGGAGGGCAGAGATTTTGGGATGAAGGAGAGCAGAGATTTCAGCACTGCAGCAGCAACCCTCCCCACGAGCTGGTGATATCACCTCTCCAAAGGGAGAGAAGTTCCCTTTACTTTTAAAGTAATTTCTGGAAATGACCAGAACAGCTACTCCCCACCATAAAAAATTCATTCCTGGCTAAGGAATATTCCTTGCATAACTTGATAGGAGGCCATTTCCAGGCTCAAATCCTAACAGAAAACAAAGACAGTTTATTTAAGCCTCATCAGCACCACAAGCTCAAACTCTCATTTTTTTACCATACAAATATTCTCCCCGCAGTGCAAGGAGCCAACACCTGCCCACGTAGGGCACACGCAGTGGGAAAAACAATGGGGATTATCTGGGCCTGAGAAGGTGATTCAAGAATAACAGATGAGTAAAGCCACTGCATAATAATTTTCTACATTTACTTGATTTCCCTGATTTCCTTTTGTTCATCTAGCCTTGTGCTGCTTTGCTTTGCAGCTTTCTGCAAACACCAGTTACGGAAGCTGAGCGGGGCATTTCACTGCAGAACCCAACCACCACAATACTGAAATGATCCAACTTTATCATGTTTATCAAAAGAAATACCATTTTTGTTCTGTTGTTTCTTTTTTCTTTCAATTGAAAACACCAAACTTCATAATAACATTTTTGCCTCAGCAGCTCTCACCAGCAAAACTCTCCTCTTCCTCCTCCAGTCACACATCCCCTCCCAGTGCAGCCCAGCTGGGAGGTGTGAGCACCACAACCCTCCCAGTTTACTGGCCCAGCCTCAATTCCTCTCCCTACAACCAAGCTGGACATGTATTCTTGGAGAACCCTTCCCAGTAATAAAATACAGTAAAGATTTTTACATTCAATTCACTTCTTTTGGTGGGTTATTTTTCCACTTTTTATTCCTTGTGCTCTCCCAAATCTCCATGTGCTGCACTAACTGCTCTGCCCAGAGTCTCCCCAGAGGTCTCCAGCACAACCTCCTGCTCAAGCAGGGGTTGGAAGGGGCCTTAGAGACCATCCAGTTCCATCCCCCCACCATGGGCACTACACCAGGTTGCTCCAAGTCCTGTCCAACTTGGCCTTGGATACTTCCAGGGATGGGGCAGCCACAGATTCTCTGGGCAACCTGTGCCAGTGTCTTACCAGCCTCATAGGGAAGAATTTTTTCCCACTATCCCACCTAACCCTGCCCTCTAGCAGTGGGAAGCAACTCTTCCTTATCCTCTCACTCCAGACCCTTGTCCAACGTCCCTCTCCAGCTCTCTTGGAGCCCCTTTAGGCA